GAAGATACACGGCGCATCTTTCGCATTTCAGAAGCTCCTTCGCTTCGGTCATTATCTTCGTGACCAGACACTCGAGATTGTTCTGTTCTTCGAATATGTTTCTCGCCAGATTCAACAGGATCTGGTTTCGTCGATACTCTTGCACCGATAGTTCGAACAGTTGTGCATTTTGTATACCGATCCCGCAAAATGTTAGGTACCTGGAATTAGTGTTGTCGCACGTTATGTATCTTGCGATGTGTTTCTAATCGTTTTTTGGACAGACTTTGTTACTATATCTGTCTTTAATTTATTTTCAAGATTAACACAAGTATTTCTATATTTTTTTTCAAATTTTTCCAATCTTTATTTCCACACTCTTCTCGTTGTCTGGTATTCTGTTCTACGTTCTTCATAGTAAGAAACTATGTTCATAGTTATCCACGAGACTACTCTTTATTATGATGTCGAGTATATTTACTGACCTCTGGAACACCTCGACGTCTCTGTCAGTAAATTCATTGCTACCATTAGTCTTATTTATAATTTGAGCAACGCCAATCACGTCTCCCTCGTAATTGCAGATGGGCATAGATAGAATCAACGTTGTCTTATAACCCGTTCTCATGTCGATGGAACTATTGAACCTTGGATCCTAGAAAGAAAACATCCACTTTTCACCTAGATATATTTCCCTTATTTGTTATAAAAATATTCTGTTCCGTTTCACTGCTTTACGTAAAACACTTTATGGAAAGTTCATTCACTGAGTCAGCCAAATGATCATCCATATTATTTCTCGATCAATGGATTTTTTAAAATTTGACGTTGGTCTTATTCGTTTAGTGTCTTGAATTTATTTTCTCTCTCTCTCTTTTCTAAAAATTTTACAACATTTTGATCCCCGAAATTAATTAATTTGAATATCAATCGTCAGCGTTACGTTTTAAAATTTGAGTCAATGAAACGATCAGAATCATAACGACGATCCTGAGCAAAGTGAAACAGATTAGAAACCAAGCGTCACGCTGTGTCGCTTTCGAACCTTGTAAGCGTCCTTGATGTTGATGATTTCCTTTGTTTGAGCCACGTAGCCAGCGATCCCAACTCCAAAGGGGATCTTGATCTCTTCGTTCTTGGCCCTCTGGACAGCTTCCTCCAGTTCAGTGTCTTGCGTCACGTCGAACAATTTTGCAACCAGATATCTATCCTCGAGAGGTCCCTTGGCCAGGAAAAGGCTTCCACGATCGGCATGCGTGAGCAGGCCGACGTTCACCAGGATCTTATGGCAAAGAACGTTGATGTCCAGCTCGTTGGCCACGTCCCTGATCAACTCCATGAACAAGTCACTTTCGTCCAACCTGTTGAGCTCTTCCCTTCGTCCCACCAACGAGCTGTAAGTCCTGGAATTTACATTTACAAAGGTTCTATTCAAAATTCATCTTTCTTTCTCTCTCTCTCTCTCTCTCTCTTTTTTTTTTTATTAAATACCTCTCAGTGGCCAAGAATTGTAATTATTGAGATACAACTGATTGACACGCGAGAATCGAGTCAATTTAGCTTAACTTGAACTGAATGATTTCCTTTCTTTTCTTTTTTTTTTTTCTATCAGCCAAACTTAAAACGAATGATAGAAGATAATTTACCTGCTGGGACTTTTGTTGCGTTTCGCCGGCGAACTGGAGGCCAGCCAACTCTGGAACAGGTCAGAGGTGACGCTGTTCCGTTTGCTTCGGCTCAGAAGGCTCTCCTCTTGGTGTACGTTCCTCGACGTTGACTTGGCTTGGGCCACAGCCGTGCCTTGAATTCGTTGACGAAGCTCGAGGCTCGCGTTCTCGCGGAACCAGGCCTCCGCCGCGTCCGGATGCGCTTCGAGGTATCTTTATCGAGAAATATCGTCGCTCGATTACCGATCATCGTGTGCCAGTTCGAGATACAATGTAATAGTAGCCTCGTTGGTCAACTTCTCGAGAGAAATTACAGTCATCTCATTGAAAATTGCAGGAGCGTTTTGGAAACGAAAAAGAACATCAGATGGGAAGCGTGTGCAAGTATAATTTGTTTGGAGTTGAATCTTTCCTTTTTCTGTTAAAGTGATAATTTCATTTATAGTTCCTAGAACCGACTGTATATTCTCCGAAAGAAGTACAAAACATTGTGCGTTCTCTGTATGAACTTCAAATTATCATTTGTTGCAGTATTGAAATATCGAAGGTAGTGAAATATCTGCTTACAGTAAATTTCTACTTATCAATTACTTTGTCAATCTATCATTTTTAAAGGAACAGTGTTTTTCAACTGTGTCAGATTTATGTCTCTAGCCACAGATTGACACTGATGCAAGAAAATCGGCTAAATATATCTACTCATCAGGTTCTTTCTCTGCGAGCTTCATACTTTAATCTACACACTAAAAAATAAAGTCTTTGACAGCAAGTTTATCAATTTTAAACGATAAATTCGAGAACTTGTTAACAGTAATAAGCATATGAGCCGTTTATTTTGAAAGTGGCCTAAGTCCATTTGTCTTTAAATCAATATATTTAACGGTTTTGATAAATTTAAAGATAATATGTATAATTTACCAACCCAGTTAGTATGATAAACATTGTTTAGAAAATAACACTTTCTCGATGGCTACAAATGGACTTGAGCCACTTTAAAGATTAATGAAATAACTTTTCTAATTTTTAACAAGGCACAAGTCCTTTGAAGGAAATAAAATTCCCTTAAAATAAAAAGAAAATATTACAATTTTGTGCTATAAAATTAAAAAATATCCAATTTTTATTTACTATTTAAGAAATGTTACATTCAAATAATTTTATTTAATTTATAATTCATTCTTCTCCCATTTGCGTAGGGAGGGATTTAAAATAATTATGGTGGTGCAGGAAGTAATAAGTGTTGCGATTGGTCTCACATTTTTGTACAATGATGTCAATATTATTATAGTTTCTTGGTCTCAACCGACGCGAGTAGTAAATCCAAAATTTTGAACAGTACGTCCTCACTCATTGACGTTTTATAGAACATTTTATATGGTTCTGTTCTCAAGAATCGTATCCAACATATTTCTAACGAATTTGCCATTTCTCCATTACTGCTTTTCAACCATCTAAAAACCGCGTTCTCTAAAGTCACTTGGTTGAAATGCAATCCTCTGTGTTTAATGGAACTATTATCATTAAAAAAAAAAAAGAAAAATCACTATCTGAGCTGATCGAACACTACCGCTTTAATAATAAAAAATACAACTCTTGTCACATGAAATTTTACCGCACGATATACTTCATGTTAGTTTTGAAACTCTTCAAATGGGACTTGGGCCATTTTGAAAAGAAAA